CCCACCAGTGAAGCTGGGCCAGCTCCAGGCTGGGAATCTGCAGCTCCATTCCTGCTTCTGTCACTGCTGGGCTGCCTTGGGAAGTGATTCCACCTCTGTCTCCATCCACCCTCTGCCACAGGGCAAAATAATCTGTGAGTTGAAGTGTTTTAAAAAGAGGCAAATGATAGTTCTTGTGTTACACATGTGCTGGAGGAGACCTTGGAGCACCTTCCAGGACCTAAGGGGGCTCCAGGAGAGCTGGAGAGGGACTGGCAACAAGGGATGGAGGGACAGGACACAGGGAATGGATCCCACTGCCAGGGGACAGGGATGGATGGGAGATTGGGAAGGAATTCCTGGCTGGACTGGAATTCCCAGAGCAGCTGTGGCTGCCCCTGGATCCCTGGCAGTGCCCAAGGCCAGGCTGGACAGGGTTTGGAGCAGGCTGGGACAGTGGGAAGTGACCCTGATCATGGCAGAATAGGGAATGGGATGAGCTTTAAGGTCTCTTCCAACACAAATCATTCCAGGATTCTGTGATATCCATATGGAAAACCAGCAACAAATGACCAGAGGAGAGGAACAGCCCTGCTAAGATCTGGGCTGGATTCTCACAACATCTGAGGTGCTCTGAAGAGCAAACTGGGACCCCAGAGCCCCTTCCTGGCAGCAGCCCTGTCCTGCACCTGCAGCTCTGGGATAAACCAGGAGAATCCAGCCTTGCTCAGCCAAAGCTCCTCAGGGCAACACCAAACCCAGGTCATCCATCAGACCCCAGCACACGGAGCTGCATCCCTCAGCTCCCACAAACACAGCCCAGCTCCTCCAGCTCCCTGTGGAGCCTTGTGAGAAATATAAAATCTAAACCTGAGGCATCACCTGCTCCAGGGCTGCCAGAGCTGCCCCAGCAGTGCCAGAGGATCCCAGCTTTGTCCCAGGATGGACTCCAGGCTGTGGAGCAGTCCCAGCTGTCTCCCACACTTTCCATTTCATGTGCTGATGGGGCACCCCAAGGCTGGCTGAGAGAGGCAATGAGGGGAAGGGCAGATGCTGGAATGTTCAACCAAACTGCAGAATTGCTCAGGAAATTGCTCAGACAAATTAAGCTCCCTCATTTCTCCCTGCTTTCCAGGCTATCCAATTTTTCGGCGTGGGACATCAGCCACAGCCACTTCTCTCCCAATTACTCAACTTCCAAGTGAAGCCTTCTGCTCTCACAGCATTTTGCTAAGATGGGAACTGATGTTCCCATTCCTTCCCTCTCTCCCAGATCCTGGTAACTCCCAAATTAATTAGGGCATCATTGGGGCTTTATGGTTATTTTTCCTTTATGCTCCTGCTGCTGGAGACTCCAACAGAACCCATGGAGCTACAAAACCTCACTGTAAAATACATCCCAGGAGGCTGTGCCCTGCCCTAAACAGAGTTTAGGACATCTCACTTCTCCTTTCTCCTTGAAAAGCAAAAACTAAAGAACACAAAATGAGAATAAAATGAGGATAAAACCCTCATTTTGCTTCTGTATAAAGGAAACAGTGATGCTTTAGACACATCGTGTGAGGAAGACCTGACAGAGGAATTATCTGCCAGAGTTAAACACTTCTACTTTGTAGTATTTAGGTTCAAAATAAACAAAACTAAGGATTTGAGATCTAAATAATGTCATGAAGCTGCTCCTGGGACTGGCTGGCACACCCAGACATTCCAAAGGAAATCCTTCACCTAAGGAAAGATCTCAGAGGAGTCTCTGCAGGCACTGATGGAGCCCAAAGATGCAGCACAATGCAGATCCTTTAAATGTCTTTTGGGCTGACCACTGAACTATTTGTTCCAAACAAAAAAAAAAAAAAAAGGCAATTTAAGCAAACCCAGAGATGTCCTGCCACATGGGCAGCTGAGTTTCAAAAAATGCATCAAATTGGACTTAAATACTCCACGGGCAGTGGCAATCAGAGCAGGTGACACAAATACAGCACCTGGCACACAGGAGAGCAGCACACTCAGGAGCTTTGCTGCAGCAGATTTTACCCTTTTTTGGACAATCTTTACCCAAAACAGGGCACGCTCTGCCCGCTGAGCAGCACTGCAAGAATTCCTGCTTTCTGCTGCAGCGTTCAATAGACAGTTTGGGCTTGTTTTCTATTTTCTCACATATTTTTGAACATGCAAGCAACCAAAAAGCAAAGCTAATTAACTGGTTTTGCCATATCTAACACGAGAATTTTTATCGTTCCTTAATTAAGCAAACAGAGGATCAAAAGGTAGGGGCAGAATAAGATGTCAAAGAACTATAAAATCCCTTCTTTTTAGAACAGGAAAAAACATTTAGATTCAGCAAGTTCTCCCTAGAAATATGGCTATAAAGTATTGATTTTTCACCAGGCTCAATTGACTGAAAAGTTGTTTGTATAGCAATATTGGCCGAGCCAATATAGTGGAACAATTTTGCTCCACACAGTAATCAAGTGTATTTCTAAAGTATAATTATACTGTCATAAAAATAAAGCTAAGATACCTCTTCTCCAAGCCATAAACCACTCGCAGCTGTAAAGAACCCAAATAAATGAAATCCATTTTCTAACTAAAAAAATCCTGTGTTTTCTAACTAAACATAGGCTTCCAAAGAGAACCAGCCCACCTCCAGCCAGGGGGGAGCAGGAGGGGTGATCAATACTTCAATCTCAATAAACAATTCCAATAAAAGAGTTTTTTTCCATGGAAAAAAAGAGAGGCTGGGAGATTTTTGCTCAGCCTCCTGCGACGCGCCGTCGTGTCCCCCCAATGCTGGGAATATTTCACTGCCATAATGGATATGAGTCAGGATAAAGAGCTCGGTGAAGAGAGGGGGAACGAAAAAAAAAGCAAAAATACAAGGTAAGGATAACAAAAAGATAAAAGGAAGGGCGTAGACAGGCTGGCTGTTGAGCTGCAGATCGATCCCCACACGGCCTCTCCTCCCTGAGCCAACAGCCCCACGCCGGAGAGGGAAACTGCCCAACCTCTGCAATCCATTTCACCTGACAAATGTTCATTGATTTACTGGAATAAAATATCTCTGGGCTGCTCTCCGTGGCTGGGGCAGGGCAGCTACCTGCGAGGATTCCAGTTTGAATCCCTTATTTCCTGCTGGGGCACGGATGCTCTGCCAGAGAGGGAGAATTGGGAACTTTTTGGGAAGGGGGGATTGAGGTGGTTTTGTCACAGGGCTGGAGCCTCCCTGCTCTGGAGCCAGGATGGGAGAGCTGGGAATGTTCCCCCGGAGAAGGGAAGGATCCAGGGAATCCTCAGAGCCCCTTCCAGGTCCTAAAGGTGCTCCAGGAGAGCTGGAGAGGGACTGGGGACAAGGGATGGAGGGACAGGACACAGGGAATGGCTTCAGAGTGGGAAAGGGGAGATTTAGATGGATTTTGGGAAGGAATTCCTGGCTGTGGTGGAACTCCCAGAGAAGCTGTGGCTGGCCCTCGATCCCTGGAGGTCCAAGGCCAGGCTGGAGGGGTTTGGAGCAGGCTGGGACAGTGGTAGGAGGTGTCCCTGAGATAAACTGAGCTCCCTTCCAGCCCAAACCACTGGAGGATTCCACGATAATCTGCAAAATATCCACACACAAACCAGTGCCCATTCCCCGGAAAAGGCTGGAGTCACTCCTGTCCTGGAGACACCCCGAAGTCCCTGCAGCTGCTGACTTCAAATAACAACGGGATATAAAGGAACACGAGCCACAGAAACAGCTCCTGGCACAGGAGGGGCTCCTGCCTCTCCAGGTGAGATTGTCCCTGTCCCAGAGTGCAGGGAATGGTCACAGTCCCCACTCCAGGCAGGAGATCCCAGCTGCACAGCCTCAGAAACACAGGATGGAGTCACACAGGACTTTTATCCCAATTCCACAGCCTCAGAAACACAGGACGGAGTCACACAGGAACATCCAGCTTTTATCCCTATTCCCTGAAGAACCTTCTCTGCCTCTCCACCAACACCAACAAGTCTGAGCTCTAAAGCTCAACACTCTCCCATATCTCTCATAAAATCAGAAAATAACACCACTTCCTCAAGTCCTAGGAACATCCTTCTCCAAGAAAAGATACCTGAAGCACCTTCCACCCCCAGGGCCAACCTGATTTAAGAATCCATCCCAAGGCTGCATTTCCTCCTTGAAGGCTCTGGAAGTCCATTTCCATCCAACCTTCTGCAGGAGGAGTTGTTTTGCAATGCTGGCAGCCAATTAGAAACCAAACCAAATGCACCGTGGCTTTTAAAACACTTTAGGGGAGGGAAAAATGTTAATATCAAAGTTAAAATGTCTAAGGTATAAACAAAACCCTAATGGGATGCTGGGTTACTGTATATGGTAAACAGCTCTCTGGAGGAAACCTTTATTACTCCCTCAGGGCTTTCTGACAAAGTATGGATTTCTTAATTCCCACAGGAATATTTTTCATACCCCACTGCAGACTATTAAGTCCCAGATATTACATTCTGTAGTTTAAACTTTGCACGATGCATAAGCAGGAGTTTTCTCAACAAGAAAGTCTTATCTGTGCTATTTTAATTTTTACAGTATTAAAATTTATCCTGGCTGCAGGGCTGAAGCTTCTGCACCAAAATTTGGTTAAAATTTATCCTGGCTGCAGGGCTGGAGCTTCTGCACCAAAATTTGGGGGAGCTGGTGAGGCTGGGAGGGAGGGAGAGGCAGCAAAAGGGGATGAGGGATTCTGGAGGGCAGGGCACTGCTGCCACCACATCCCACTGCTGTCATCCCCAGGTGAGGCAGCAGAATTCCACATCCTGGAGGCCAATCCAGGACATCCCAGATCCCACTTGTGAACCCTCCACTTGCTCCCAGAAAAGATTCAAAGCCGCGTTAAAATCAGAATAAAACACCTCTGAACAATTTAAAAGTTTACATTATGACTTTTTTTCCCTGCAGAGCAGCAAGACACGCCTACACCACCAAATGTAAAAAGTAAAAACGCCGTGAAATCTGAATTTTGGGGCAGATTTGAGGTGAAACCCCCACTCACTTGTAGACGGTGCCTCCGTTGCCGTGGCCGAGGATGTCTCGGTATCGAATGTCTTGTTCATTCATCTCCACAAGAAAGAAAGAAAAACAAAAGAGATGTCATGCTGGGGATGGAAATGTCAAGGAAAAGCAACTCCAGGCCATAAACAACAAGCAGTCTGGGTCATTTCAAGTTCAGCTGCAAGAACGAGAAGATCAATACAACATTTGCTGTCCAATTTATAAAAGACGATACCAAGGGACAAAGTGATGGAAAGTTTAATGACAATTTGTTTGCCTGGGTCATTTCATTAAAGTTTGATAAAAGGTGTCAAAATGGAATGATATAATATAGCTCAAGAGGGTCAGGGCACTGCTGCTGAGAGGAAAAGGGGCTCCAGAGCAGCACATCAGCAGAGCCAAAGTTGGAGGTGAATGGGAACAACCCTGGCAGCTGGAGAAGTTTGGGATTTATCCTGGAATCAGCAGGGCTGAGCCTCAGCGAGAGGCAGCTCTGGCAGAGCTCAGTGCAGACGTTTTTTACCTAAAGAAAAATCAGTCTGGAATCCCAATCCAAGTGATTTTCCTTGAAACACACAGCAATTCCTTTGCCTCAGTTTTTTCTGCTCGCTGGGACAGCTCAGATCCTCAGATCCAGAGCACTGCAGAAATTCCTGAATTTCTCACCTTTTTTTTAATATGGATTTCACAACAGCTTAACATATTGCCTGGGAAGCAACTGAAATGTAAAACCAGAGTTCAACCTTCCCCTGGACAAGCAGAGCTCCTCTGATTTTGCACAATTTAAAAAATCCCATTAAAGACGTTTTTGCAATGCACATTTATACTTGAAAATAAATATTTTGAACAGAATTAATTCTGGGATAAAAGCAATTTTCTGTTCCAGAAAGATTCCCTCATTGCCAGATCATTTTAAGTAGAAAATGTTTGAGCAAATCCTGCTTTGAAAAGGTATTTTCCTAGGAAACATTAACTCATTTTCAGTAATTACTTGTATTTTATGGGACACCAAGTTAAATATTTCACATGACTTGGCCTGGCTGCTTAAAGATGTCATTTTTGTGTATTAACACAAGTGATGATAACAAGCTCAAATGTCCCAAAGAGTCAATACTCAGCATTTCTAATGACCAGAAAATGAAATATTTTATTGATTTAAAAGAAGTTACAAGGACAGAAATTATTAATCCAAAATTGATGTTTTTTCCTTTCACTACCTGAGCAAAAAAAATGTGATTTCACACTGGAATTGCTACACAGGGATGGGAAAACCTGAGCTGAGACAACTCAAAAGAGAAGGTGATGATTTCATTATTTATTTGGAATTAAACCTGGGCCAGGTTCCTTAGGAGGGCCCATTTGTGATGAAAATTAACATTTACTTCATTACTGAAAGCTCCTTTGCTTATTGCATTCATCAGGAAATGCAAACAGAAAGGGGGAAGTTGTTTCTCATGAGGAACAATTGCTCATGAATGGGATTTTAAATATGTAAAGAGTCTACAGTGATCCCTAAAATAAAAATAATTTCTCTCTGGCTGCAGACTTGGGAATTTTAAGGAGTTTTGCTCTTCCAAGCTGAATCCTCCATCCTTGGAGCAAACACCTCCTGCACTCCCAAAAACCTCCTGAACCAATCACCCCAAAGGAAATCCAATGAACCCACAAAACCAACAACAAATTTGTATTTTTGCATCCTGGTGGGGGAAAAGAGGAGATTTTTTGGAGGTTCCTCAAGTGAGGAACAACGAATGGAGCAGAACTGGAGACATCAAGCACGTTCCCCGTCCTCCTGCTTGCTGCCCACTGGGAAAAGGGAATATTTTCTCCACATCCCTCCCTAAAAGACAGGGGCAGGAGCAGCTCCATCCTCTGAGGCTCCAAGGGCACCCAGAATTCCAGGGAAAAGCAGGAATGCTGGGCTGGAGGCAGGATCTGCATCTGATGGGAGATAAAATGGGATTTACTGGCTCAAATAAAGGTGCCAAAAGCACAAGGTGATTTATTTATTCCACTGGGAAAACTGGATTCTCCATCATAAAAGGGTCTTTTAGCAGGTGGCATTAAACCTGCAAAACCCCAACCTGGAGGGGCTGGAAAATTCAGGAATTCATGGGAAACCAGGCAGGGAGCAGCAAACAAAGCATCCCTCCCTCCACTGGCTGGGGGATGAAACCAGGGTGGGTTTTGGTAAATCAACAGCCAAATTCCCAATTAACCCCAGTGAAACCAGGGTGGGTTTTTTGTGAATTATTAAGAGCCAAATGGTCAATTAATCCTGATGAAATTAGGGTAGGTTTTGGCAAAGTATTAGAAGTCAAATTCCCAATTAATCCTAGTGAAATCAGGGTGGGATTTTTGTAAATAAATAACCAAATTCCAAGTTAATCCTGGTGAAATCAGGGCGGGTTTTTGTAAATAAATCACCGAGTTCCCAATTAATCCTGGTGAAATCAGGGTGGGTTTTTTGTAAACAAATAACCAAATGCCCAATTAATCCTGGTGAAATCAGGGTGGGCTTTTTGTGAATTATTAAGAACCAAAATGGCCAATAATCCTGGTGAAATCAGGGTGGGATTCCAATTAATCCTGGTGAAATCAGGGTGCGTTCTTTGTAAATAAATCCCTGAATTCCCAATTAATCCTGGTGAAATCAGGGTGGGCTTTTTGTGAATTATTAAGAACCAAAATGGCCAATAATCCTGGTGAAATCAGGGTGGGCTTTTTGTGAATTATTAAGAACCAAAATGGCCAATAATCCTGGTGAAATCAGGGTGGGGTTTTTGTAAATAAATCCCTGAACTCCCAATTAATCCTGGTGAAATCAGGGTGGGTTTTTTGTAAACAAATAACCAAATGCCCAATTAATCCTGGTGAAATCAGGGTGCATTCTTAGTAAATAAATCCCCGAATTCCCAGTTAATCCTGGTGAAATCAGGGTGGGTTTTTTGTAAATAAATCACCGAATTCCCAATTAATCCTGGTGAAATCAGGGTGGGTTTTTTGTAAATAAATAACCAAATTCCCAATTAATCCTGGTGAAATCAGGGTGGGTTTTTTGTAAATAAATCCCCGAATTCCCAATTAATCCTGGTGAAATCAGGGTGCATTCTTAGTAAATAAATAACCAAATTCCCAGTTAATCCTGGTGAAACCAGGGTGCGCTCTTTGTAAATAAATCCCCGAATTCCCAATTAATCCTGGTGAAATCAGGGCGGGTTTTTTGTAAATAAATCCCCGAATTCCCAATTAATCCTGGTGAAATCAGGGTGCATTCTTAGTAAATAAATCCCCGAATTCCCAGTTAATCCTGGTGAAATCAGGGTGGGTTTTTTGTAAATAAATCACCAAGTTCCCAATTAATCCTGGTGAAATCAGGGTGGGGTTTTTGTAAATAAATAACCAAATTCCCAATTAATCCTGGTGAAACCAGGGTGCGCTCTTTGTAAATAAATCCCCAAATTCCCAGTTAATCCTGGTGAAATCAGGGCGGGTTTTTTGTAAATAAATCCCCAAATTCCCAGTTAATCCTGGTGAAATCAGGGCGGGTTTTTTGTGCCTATTAAGACCCAAATGCCAATGAATCCTGGCGGGGGTGAGGAGCTGCCTGAGCCCAGAACAGCCACTGAGGAGAGGGAGTAAATCCCCCCTGGCAGGGCAGCACTAATCGGGCAGCAGCCGCCCCTGCACTGCTCCTTATGAACTGGTGACACTCTATCAATGCTGAATCAATTGGTGGCATTTACCCTGAGTGACAGAAAAGAAATAAATATTTATATCACATCACCTCTATCAATGAGGCCGGGCAGAAAGCTATTTCTAACCTGTCAATATTTGATTATCTTGAAGGATCACGTCCCCTTCTTTTAATGATTAATATGAATTCCTTATTAAAGCTAAATGGAAGCTACTGGGGGAATATCATTAGGAATGCCTCAAAGCAGAAACTGCCAAAAAATAATCAAAAATAATGACCCAGGCCAGACTTAAGTAATGGTTAAGTGTGACTTAATCCCCCCAAAATGAACAAAAGTTAAAGTTTTATCCAGGAACCCATCACCAGTTGTGGATCTGTGACCAAGATTTTGCAGAACTCAACTGAAATCTCGTTTCCTCTCAACAAAATGCAGATTAACTCCCATCAGGCTGACTAAAAAGTAGTATTAAAACTGAATTATTGCTTTTTAGTGGATTTCAGCAACATTTTTAATATCAGAAGAGGTACTTAATCCTTTTTTTTTTAAATTGGGTTTAAGTGTAAAACTTCATTCTTATTTTCTTTTTAGTGGGTATTAAGTAGCAATTCCAACATCATAGGAAGTCCCTAATTTTTAATATTTTTTTAGTGGGTTTAATTTACATTTTTAATACTGTAAGAAGAGACAATCCCTATTTTCCTCTATTTTTCAGTGGGTTTAAATAACATTTTAAATATCATAAGAATAGGCACTTAATCCCTTAATCCTTATTTTCTTTTTTTTTTCTTTCAGTCAGTTTAAGTAACATGTTTGATATCATAAGAAAAAGTTTAGTTTTAAAATTCAAAACCCCAGGGAACCAATCTGTGACTCTCTTGCAGGGCACTCCAACCACTTGTTCTCTGCAGTTTGGAACAAATAAAATGCCAAATTCAGCCAACCTCAGAGAGATTTTACTCACATTCTGGGGTTAATAAAATAAATCACTTTTAAAGAAATCAGTAATATCAGAGTCAGCACCACCCTGATTTACAAGTTCAGCCACCTGCTGCTGCTGCTCCCAGAACCTCAAGCCACCAAGGGGAATACATTATTTACCTGGGAATTCTGGAATATTTAAAAAAAATCAGCTGGCAGGAATTTGGGAACACTGAGCTCAGCCTAAAATCCCCATTTCCAGCTGAATCCCAGGGACCCCGCAGCGCTGGGCTCACGTTCTGGAGGGGAAAAAACTCATTTTTGGAGGGGAAAAAAACCTCATTTTTGGAGGGGGAAAAAACCTCATTTCTGGAGGGGGAAACCTCCTCATTTGTGGAGGGGGAAACCTCCTCATTTGTGGAGGGGGAAAATCTCATTTGTGGAGGGGAAAAATCTCATTTTTGGAGGGGAAAACCCCCTCATTTTTGGAGGGGGAAAAACCTCATTCTTGGAGGGGGAAAAAACATAATTTTTGGAGGGGGTAAAAACATCATTTTTGGAGGGGATAAAAACATCATTTTTGGAGGGGATAAAAACATCATTTTTGGAGGGGATAAAAACATCATTTTTGGAGGGGGAAAATTTCTTTTTTGGAGAAGAAAATTCTCTTTTTTCCCCCTCACATGAGGCCAGGTGAGGCTGAGGGGTGGCACGAAGCTGCCCCTCCTCCTGCTGCCAGCCCTGCCCGGGCTCCTGACGTGCCAGGGAGGTCACTGCGGGCAGCGCTGAACGGGCAGCTGAGATAATGAAGATCTCAGCCCTGCGAGGCAGAGGGGAAGTGAAGAGCAGCTCAGAAAATCAATGAGAGCCTTTTATTTGCAGTGACACAGATGTCCCAGTCAATAGAGCCTAACAGGCAGCCCCGTGGACAGGGGCCTCCCTCCAAGGCTGCCAAACCTGGGACAAATGGATGTGCATGTTAAAATAGATCTATTTGGTTTATAAATGGATAATAAATAGATTTTAATATTTGTTTTAGTTTGATAATTTTTTATTTATAAAATATATTTTTATATTAAAATATATTTCGTTTTAATATAAAAATATATGTATATCTAATATAACATACCTATTATTTTAATATATTTTATATTTGGTTTTATAAATATAAAATAAATATATTTTCTATATTTATTTTATCTCTACATTTTATCTATTCACATATAAATATATTTATATTTAAATATATTTATTTATATGAATATATAAATAAAGCATACATAATACACGCTTATATGATAAGCATACAGAATATATTTAAATATATTTATTTGATTTTTATATTTTATATTTATTTTTATATAAAATATATCTATGTTAAGACATATTTATATGGCTGCTTGAGAATTCTGGATTCCCATCCCTGGGAGTGTCCAAGGCCCCTGGGGCAGGGGAGGAGGATTTTCACTTTGGGCTCTGAGATCCCTCCCAGCCCAAAACCACAACCCTGAAGTGATTCCAGAGAGGTTCCTGGCAAGAACCTGCCAAATATTTCAGGATCTCCTGCCCTAAACCTCACAAAGGTCATTTGTTGCATATAAATAAAACCTTATGAAATAAAATTTATTTCACAGTAAACTGTAAAATCAGGTCTTATTGCTCTTCTAACGAAACTAACACTAGCCTGTGCTGAGCTCCCATGAGAAATGAACTTCAAGGATGAAAATCAGTTTATGTAACAGCCTATTCTTGTGAAAAAATCAGGTTACACCTGCAAAAACAAGAATTCTATCCCATAAGAATCCATAAAGAAAATATGTAAACTGCCCAGAAACAGAGATCTTTAATAAACACATACTGGCCAGTGAAATGGATTTCAGCAGGCTGTAAACCAATTAAATTCATGCACAGTACCTTCTGGTATTGCTGTAAATACAAACTGGGGATTATTTATTGCACTATTTTAACCTAAGCACACACCTATAACCTTGGTTTTATCAATTAATTTTGGAATTTTCTCCACGCCCTCAGGTCAAATACAGATCTCTCTTGGGGGTCAGAGTTTGTCAGTGCAGCATGTCCAAAATTCTCAATAACCAGGGGGTTCTAACAATACACTGAGTAAAAAATTCAGTAAAAATTCAACTATTCTACACGATAAAAACAAGAATTTAATCTCACTTCCATCTCTGATGTGAGGCTGACAAGTGAGCAGCTAACTCAGTTACCCAAAACTGACTGAGGGGCCCCCATCCATTTGCAGCTAAAGCAGATTTTGAGAAGTGGGGGGCAAATTTCTGTGCCAATAAAAGCAAATCAGGACCCTGGACATTCCCATGGCCCCCGATTTTGGGTTAAAAACCCAAATTTCAGCTGAATGAGCCGGGAGCACCAGCCAGGCACGAGATGTGCCCCAGCCAAAGCACCCACCTGGCCATTGGCAAGGATCTTCTTCAGCTCTGCAGAGGACTTCTTCAAGCTGGGGAAGAAAAAACAAATTAGAAACAATTCTTTTTAACATTTCACTCTGTCAGATAAAGAGAGGAACAAGGGGAGTGTGTGGTTCCATATTCTGAGATCACACTTGAGGGGAAGGTGTGGTGAGAGCAGCCAGCACGGCCAAGCTGCAGGCAGCAGGCGTGAACAAGCAATGAACAGCTCAAATAGATAAATAAAATTTTAAAAAATCAATGCATTTTCCACCTTACAGCTGGTTTAGACACCTGACTGCACAACCTGCTGGGACACGAGCTACTGCTCACCAGCTCTAAGAGGGAAATTTAAAATAAAGCTGCTCTCGTGTGTCAGGGGTTTTAAAAAAAACACAGGAAAATGTGGTTCACACCCAGTTTTCCTGTACTAATCTGGTTTTTGAGCTCCCCAAAGCATGACTCCAGGAATTCCTGGGGATCTCAGCTCTGGGCTGTGCTGCCAGGGATGTCACCTCCTCCAGGGACCCCAGCCTGGAGCAGAATTGCTGATTTGGGACCTCGGGCCGTGCCGAAATCCCCGCGGGGAGCCCAGCTTTCCATGGGCACCCATTCCAGGGCACTGTGCTGAGCCCCTGGCTGTTCCAGGAGCATCCACCCCCAAACCAATACAACAAAACTCACTTGAATTCCCTTTGCCTTTCCAGGAGAATCCACCCCCAAACCAATACAACAAAACTCACTTGAATTCCCTTGGCTTTTCCAGGAGAATCCACCCCCAAACCAATACAAGAAAAGTCACTTGAATTCCCTTGGCTTTTACAGGAGCATCCACCCCCAAACCTTCCAGGAGAATCCACCCTCAAACCAATACAACAAAACTCACTTGAATTCCTTTGCCTTCCAGGAGAATCCACCCCCAAACCAATACAACAAAACTCACTTGAGTTCCCTTTGCCTTTCCAGGAGAATCCACCCCCAAACCAATACAAGAAAATTCACTTTAATTTCCTCTAGGAGAACTTCACCAAGCCTCACCTCTCAGCCTGGTGAGTTAAAGAGTGAAACCTTCCATGCCCTCAAACTCCTTCAAAAACTCACAAAATGCTGGTTTTTCCCCTCCTTTCCTGACTAACTCTGCTCCTTCAACACAACAAACTGCCAGGGCAGCAACATCTGCAAAACTTCATCTCAAAGGGACGTTCTGCTCTTATTACTGAAGTTAAAAAAAAAAAAAAAAAGTACAAAATAATATATTCTTGAAAGGGCTGTGCACGTGTCTTGATCACAGATCATTATTAACAGGAACAGTGAAAACACAGATTTCATATTTGGTGGCTTTGTTCTTTAATAGGCCTCTTGTTCCCACGACTGCTTTAAAGAAAAATTAAGTTTTCCAAGGAAACATAAGTTGATCTTGTCATCTTTCATGACTAACAATTTGTGAACATGAAACAAAGAGAGACTTTCAATTACTTCAAAAACAAAACTCCTGGTGCAGAAGGTTTTGGAAAAGGAATGGCAATTAACCACCAGATAAGGTGACAAGAATCTTCTAGAAGCTTCATTTTCAATGCACTTGAAGAACAAGCTCAAAGTACAGGAGGTACTGAAAGGAAGCACGCAGCAGTGACAGAAAAATCTGCTTTATTTAGCTCAGCCTGGGGGACTGCAGAACACAGAGATTTATTCAGATTTATTTCCTCTTCATTTAAGAGTTTTGGGATGGGGCAAACTTTGCCAGGATGGGATTTTTTTAAAACCTTCACAATTACAGAGCCACCAAAGGCAGCAGCAAACTGGGATTGCTGGTTTTTGGATGGGGTTTCCAGTGGGGGAAAAACCCCAGCCCTGCTGTGGGTGAGGCTGGAATCTCCCCCAGTGAAAATGGGATTTGTGGGACTGTCCCAGCCTCAGGACAGGCCCCCAAAATTCACCCTCCAAACGTGCCCAGAACACCACAAATGTGCCCCTCTGGTCACGTTAACCTGTGGCAATTCACCTTTTCAATCTTCACAACATTCCTTTGCTCTTCCTTTTTCTCAGGGAGAAAAGGGAGCAGGATGCTGATGCACGGATAAATGGAATATTGTGAGCTTATTAGAATAATAGAATAATTTAGGTTGAAAGGAGCCTCCAGAGAATTCTGTTCCCATGGCTCAGACATGCTCTTGTCGGAAGAAGATGGAGCCAGACCCTCCTTATTTCTCTTGAAGGATACAGAAAGATTTTTTGTAGGTTTTTACCATCAGTATTATGATTTCCTGTAACAATTCATGTAATAAAAAGGAGTTTATCCTCCAGCATTTGAAAAACAAATCTCTAGAGAAAAAAAAAGAGAATGAGTTCTCTTGCATTTTAAGACCACAATATGGGTTTTCAAATTGGGGCTGGAAAGTAAAAAGCAAGATAAGGGGGATGGACTCCAAAACTTGCTGGAACTGTAGTTAACAGGCACCTAAACTGAAAAGATTTTTAAAAAATGCTACCCCACCCTAACAAACCTACCTAAGTTTATTATTTAGGCTATTTATTGGTACAAACCTATGAAAGGGAATTAAACTTTCAAATCAAGGAGTCCTGGAAGGAACAAGCAACATGAACACAGACCCTGGCACTGGAGCAGCCACAGGAGATCAGCCCCAAATTGCACCTCAGGGCTTTTCAAACTCAGAGCCACCTGAAACACCCAGCAAATCCTCATTTCTCCAGCAGCAAATCCCTATTTTGTCCTACAATCCCCAGCAAACCCTTATTTCTCCAACAGCAAACCCTGATTTTGTCCTGGAATTCCCAGCAAACCCTTATTTCTTCCTGAAACACCCAACAAATCATCATTTCTTCTCAAAACACCCACCAAATCCCTATTTCTCCAACAGCAAACACTAATTTCTCCCTGAAACATCCATCAAACCCTAATTTCTCCCTGGAATCTCCAGCAAACCCTAATTTCCCCACCCCCAAACCCTAACTTCCTCGTGAAACACCCATCGAGCCCTAATTGCTTCCTGGAATTCCCATCAATCCCTCATTTCTCCAGCAGCAAACCCTAATTTCTCCCTGAGACACCCACCAAACCCTAATTTCCTTCTGAAACACCCCTCAAACCCCAATTTCTCTCCCTGGAATCCCCACCAACCCTCATTTCTTCATCACCAAACCCTAATTTCTACCTGAAACACCCATCAAACCCCAATTTGTCCAGCAGCAAACCTAAATTTCTTCCTGAAAACACCCATCAAACCCCAATTTCTCCCTGAAATCCCCACCAATCCTCATTTCTCCATCACCAAACCCTGATTTCTCCCTGAAACACCCATCAAACCCTAATTTCTCCAGCAGCAAACCCTAAATTTCTTCCTGAAAACACCCAGAAAACCCCAATTTCTCCCTGAAACACCCAGCAAACCCTAATTTCTTTCTTAAATTCTCAGCAATCCCCAATTTCTCCAGCAGCAAACCCTAATTTACTCCTGAAACACCCATCAAACCCTGATTTTCCCCTGGAATCCCCACCAAACCCTCATTTCTTCATCACCAAACCCTAATTTCTCCCTGACACACCCATCAAATCCTAATTTCTCCATCACCAAACCCTGATTTCTCCATCACCAAACCCTGATTTCCCCCTGGAACACCCATTAAACCCTCATTTCTCCATCACCAAACCCTAATTTCCCCCTGGAACACCCACCAAACCCTGATTTCTCCATCACCAAACCCTCATTTCTCCATCACCAAACCCTGATCTCCCCCTGGAACACCCACCAAACCCCAATCTCCCCCTGGAAAACCCACCAAACCCTGATCTCCCCTGGGATCCCCACCAACCCTCATCTCCCCAGCACAAACCCGCGGGAAGAATCCCCAGCAGCCCCAACCCAACGCCACCCAGGGGAACTCCACCTTCCCACCAGCAAACCCACCCAAGCCCAGCTCTCCTGGGACCAGCCACAGGTGAGGGCCCCATTTTGGGTCCCAAAAGCAGGGAATGAGGGAGGAAGGCAGCAGAAGTCCTCACCTGTTGCTGGGGAGGGCCTCGGAGGCGGCCGAGGCGCCGCTGCCGGCCCCCGCCCGCGTGTTCACCTGCGGGGAGAGAGAGGAGCCTGAGCAGAGCCCTGCTCGCAGGACACCCTGCTAATTAACCTCTAATCTGCCACGGATTCCTCATCTCGCCAGCAAGGTTAATTAGCTGGTTGCTAGGCACGCTGGTGGTGGAGGGCTGGATGTAGGTTAGCGGGATGCGCAGCTCTGGGGCTGCAGCGCGCTCGGGGCTGAAGGAACGCGCTGGGAAAAGGGAGAAATTCAGGGTTTATTCCTCATTTTGGACACTCAAAAATCACTTAATGTGTTTATGGTCTCCTCCACGCGATTGTAGGGGCAATAAGGAATTAAAAATGTAAAGTAACTCCATTGTGGTGCCTCCCACAATTGGGTAAATGGCTGAAATCACAGGAATGAGGTGGGGGTTTAAAAGCTTTGAAGTAGTGGCAGACAGCAGTTGATAAATGAACTACTAAAATTTAAGAACATGATTAGCAGAGGTTAAAAACAAAAAGGCAAACCCATTCTTAATAAAACCACATATATAAATATAGATATCACAGCCAACATTTTGCAGATGAATCCTTCTCCCACCCTCACCAAAGGAAAAAAAAAAATCCAGAATTAAAAAAAAAAATCTGCTTGTCAGAGCTCAAGAAAGTGCAGTTTTATTTGACATTTCAATAAGTGGAACACAGCATTACAAATCCATCTAAGTTTGCTGAAACAATTACTGAAATTCGTACCTTGAGGCCATGTATGTTCCGTTTCCCAGGAGGTTTGCAGGCTGAAACAGTAATTGACTAAATTGTAGAACACATCAGGGCCATTTACAAATTTGCTCAAAATGAATCTTTTCAAAAGAAATGAGGGTGACACCAAAATTAGCAGAGAGAAATGATTGAAAAGTGCCTGGCGAGACCCAGAGTGGGAATTACAGCCCAGGATTTTTAACTTGCAGGAGTGAGCATTTATAAATGCTAAGAGCTTCCTGACACCGTGGAATGGAAATTCTAATTTCTGCTCAGAACACAGCACAAGCCAGAGAACCCTCGGCTCAAACCAGGGGATTTTTTGGTAATTCAGATTGCAACCTTGTGGTGCTGTGTTTTCACACACTGGGTTTTTTTTTCTTTTTTTCCCCTGGAATTTCACAGGGATGTTTGCAATCCAATATTGGGATTTTTAGGGAATTGGCTGTGTCAGGAATTGGTCATTTTGGCAGAGGCACTTTGGGGGAAATGGGGAAGAAACGTGGGGGGAAAATGGGCAAGAAATGGGTGGAAAAACAGGGAGGAAAAACCTGGGGGAAAACCAAACCTGGGGAGAAACCCCAAACCTGGGGGGAGAAAACCATGGCAGGGGTAACAGCAGAGCCTCCAAAAGGTAAATACTGAATAAATAAAAGGTAAATATGGGGGATAACAAATATGGGGGAAAAAACAAACAAGGGGGGAAAAAACAGGGGGAAAAACCATGGCAGGGGTAACAGCAGTGAGCCTCTCTAGTAAATACCAAATAAAGGTAAATACCAAATCAATAAAAGGTAAATATCAAATAAATAAAAGGTAAATATGGAGGAAAAACATGGGGGAAACCTGGGGAAAACCCAAACCTAGGGGAAACACCATGGCAGGGGCAACAGCAGAGCCTCCAAAAGGTAAACAGAGAATAAATCAAAAGTAAATATGGGGGAAAACCATGGGGAAAAACAAACCTGGGGGAAAAACCCAAACCTGGGGCAACAGCAGAGCCTCCAAAAGGTAAATATTGAATAAATCAAAGGTAAATATGGGGGAAACCCCTGGGGGAAACACAAACAGGGGGGAAACCGTGGCAGGGTAACAGCAGTGAGCCTCTCAGGTAAATACTGAATAAACAACAGGTAAATAGTGAATAAATAAAGGTAAACAGTGAATAAATAAAGGTAAACAGTGAATAAATGGCACTGAAAATGTGACTTTTTGGGGCAGAGCTGCCAACGTGGCACTTGGTGGTGTCTGGGCTCAGAGGGATGAGCTGCTGGAGGAGGAAAGCTTTTCCTGAGCTGTGGCCAGGGAACACCCCATCTCTCCAGGCAGGGATGAGCTCTGGGAAGGTTTTTTGGGTGTGGAAGCCCCAGGGCTGCGTGTCCCAGGCACGTCCCAGCCCCAGTGCCCTGCAAGGCTGTGCTAAGGGGCTGTCACTGCTGAGTGATGGCAGAAATGGGATTTTTTTTCCCCCTCCTGTTGGTGACAGCAGGAAGCAGAACTGTTTATGAGGGAGAAGGACACAGGTGATGGTTATTAAACACAGCACTGAGGGCCACGTGCCTTTAACAACATCCAAAATTACCACGTGCATCCAAAGAGGGCAAATGTTACATATTAAAAAAATAATAACCCAGAATGATAAATTATAAATATCTATCAGCCCGTCCTGGTTTGCCAATAGATTAAAATTGGCATTTTGAACAAGATATTCAATCAATAATGATTTTTATGGTGTGCATTTGGATGCTGTGTTCACCTTGCATTCCACAAATGGGATGTAAATAACATGGGTAAAAGACAGAGATAAATAGATATAAATATCTATAAATAAATATAAAAACATATGTAGATATAGATAAAAATATACACAGATATATAAAAATACATGTAGATATATAAATATGTATAGATATATATTCAAAATAGATATATTAAAATACCTAGATAGCTATTAAAAATATGTAGATATCCATAAAAATATGTAAATATCTATAAAAATATAATTGATACAGATAAATATATGTAGATATAAAAATATATTAATAGATACATGTATAGAAATGTATATATATAAAATATATATAGATATATTTGTGTGCACACATTTTTTATATGTACACCACATAGAGATGTTTATTTTTAATATAACATCCCCCTCTGGCTCTTACTACCTAACCAACAATAATAAACCCATTAAAAAACAGAGAAAATAGCAATTTTTTTCCCCTTAAAGATCTTTTTGTCATGAAATAAATAAAGCACAGCCCAGGTAACACAGGTTGGCATGTGGAAATTTACTCCTGAAAGGATTTTTACAGAATACAGGAGTTTTTGGGAGCAGGAACTGAGGCTTCCTCAGAAGTTAGAGAGGCAGAAAAGGAAAAGAACTCAAAGGATTTGCAAAGAAATCTCTTAAAAGGGAAGAAGTGGAAATTAGAGGCAGAAAAGCTGCAGATGCTGCTGGGCCTTTCAAGTGGGGAACGTGGAGAGCCAGGGCCAGGAGGGCACAGGAGAAAAGGGCTGCCAAAATTTGGGATGTTCATTAGGGAGGCAGGACAAGGAGACAGGAAAGGAAAAAAAATTCAAAAAAGAGCAAGAAAGTGGAAAAATAAAAAAAAAGGGGGCAGGAAAGCAGAAAAAAAAGAGCAGAAAAGCAGATTTTGTTGGGTGTTTCAGAGGAGCTCAGGGGTGGGTTTGGGGGGTTTGAAAGCTCTAACAGAGGAAAAAAAAGGGGTTTTAAGGATGTGGTTTGGGAAGATGGAACCAAAGGTGAGCTCTGGAGCAATCTGGAGGGAGTGGGAAGGAGGAAATGGCAGCAGAGAGGCAGAGCTGAGGCAGGGGGAGAACCTGGAGGAGCTGGGGGGATTGAAGCTGGGGCAGAACGGAGACAATTCCCAGCTCTGCCCAGCCACAGGAGATCATCCAGGAGACTGCAGCAGGAACAGGAATTCCCAGGGCTGGCTCTTCAGGAATGAGCCAAAGGGAGACTCCAGGACAGGATTAAATCTCAAAAAATTAAAAATTAAACCCGGGGTGGGTCAGGTGTGAGCAGCTCCTGGCAGCGCTCCCTGGGACTGGAAATGTAAAGGCTTAAAGGAAAATTCCAAGATTTTCCAACCTATTCGGATCATCCAGTTTCTCTGAGCCACAAGAGGAGGATCCAGGGAATCCTCAGAGCTTTCCCAGGGCCAGAAGGAGCTCCAGGAGAGCTGGGGAGGGACTGGGGACAAGGGATGGAGGGACAGGACCCAGGGAATGGTTTAAATGGGATAGGGCAGGGATGGATGGGAGATTGGGAAGGAATTCCTGGCTGGGAGGGTGAGAAGAAGCTGAGCTGGAATTCCCAGAGCAGCTGGGGCAATCCCTGGATCCCTGGCAGGGCCCAAGGCCAGGATGGACACTGGGGCTGGGAGCAGCCTGGGATAGGGAAAGGTGTCCCTGCCATGGGATGGGAGGGATTCCATGGGATGGGATTTCAGGTCCTTCCCACCCAAACCATTCCAGGACTCCATGATCCGTGCCTGGGAAGAGGCAGGAGACCCCTCCCTCCCTCTCCCTGCCCTGAGGAGGTCACAGCTCCCACACCTTGGGGTCTCCTCCCAACCAGACCCTGCAGGCCTCAGCCAGACAAACCCAAATTCCCATAAACCCCAATTTTGCACAAAACCCAATTTTCCACATTCCCTTCCAACTCCTGTCCCCCTTGCACAGGGAACCCCCAGGAATCCCAGCCAGCCTCCTTCGGAGACCTCGTTAGCAGTGTTTGAGGAGGCTCCTGGTTAATTGCCCAATTCAAACTTCAGAGAGTTGTAAGTAATGGAAGTGTGGAATGTTTAATTGGGAGCCTCATAGTATGATTATTTGTGTAATATCAGTTAAGTGAGGGGAGTTTAATTTTTAATTATTTCAATTAATTTATTGCTGGGAGATTTACATGGAGAATTTAAACCTTCTCAGTTCCATCAATTAAGAGCCAGAGATTCAGAGCCTGGCTACTGAGATCTCAATGAATTATGTAATGCAGGAGGCTTTTTTTCAACCATTCTTGGAGCTCAGAGAGAGCATTCCCAAAAAAGCTCCCCAGCTGCCTACGGATTTTTGTCAGCTTGGAGATGACCTATTTTTTAACTGCCTCAGTCCACGGAATTGATTACATCTCTCCCTGTTCAGGAGAATTATTGAAGTGCTTGTGAATATTTGGGTAGCACTAAGAGCCCAAATCTCAGACAAAATCGTGTCCTGGCTGGAGCTGCTGTGACAGGGACATTCCCCAGCCTGGCAGGCTGATTAATGACATTCAAACAGCTTTAAAAAGCCCAATTTTCATAAGTATCCAAGTCTTCAGTTATTCATCTGCTTTGCCTGGAAAGAACCATCACCAATGAGTTCTTTAAATGTACTTAAATATGTACTCTGCAAACCTCGTTAGTCTAATTTACTCCAGGAAATTAGCTGCTTTCTATGCAATAAATGCACTTTTCTCCACGCTCCCCACAATAATGAATTCCTCTCTCCAAATTAAGAGGTAAACACGATGCTCTGTGCATCCAAAGCTCCCCAAAACGTGCCAGGAGCTGTTCCAGCCCCAGTGACTCGGCTGATGACGGGGATTTGCTCAGCATTACCTCGTGGGTAGATCTGGAGAGGCTCTATCAATTGTCCATTCACTTGCTGCTCCATCACAGTGGAGTAATACTGCAAAAAAAAAAAAACCCAAAAAAGAGATGAGTCAGTAAGGCAGGAGTGGTAAAAGCACTTATGGATTCTTTAATTCTGTGTGTTTTCATTTTCTCTGTAATGGTGCAGATCAGCTTCAGATGGTTCCTTTCCATCTGCAGGGCTCCCACAAAAAGGAATTTAAACAGGGAGCTGTGGGGCCACAGGGATCTGCTCCTGCCTCAGCAGGGAAAGCTGGGAATGCTCCAGCAGCTGAGGAAATGAGATATTTACAGCATGAAATATTGACAGCAAATGCAGCAGCTCCACAGCTGGAGGAGCCAGGAAAACCAACCATGGCCACAAAGACCTGGGCAAATAAACCCCAAATATCCCCTAAATTACCCCAAAACTGGGCAGCTGGAAAACTCCAAGGGAATGCCAAAGGGATCTGGAATTCTGGCAGTGATGAAGATCAGGACAGAGGGATCCCAAAGCTGTGACCCCAAAAAGTCCCCGCAGACATCCTGAGACATCCCAGGAGCTGCTGGAGTGATCCAGGGATGTTTATGGGTTAAAAAAACCTCAGAATGGGCAAAAAGGGCTGGAAAAGGAGCTGAGAACACCAAAATCCAGGAAGATGCCTGGGTTGGGAGAGCTGGGAATGTTCCCCTGGAGAAGGGAAGGAGCCAGGGAGAGCTCAGAGCCGATGAAGAGCTCCAGGAGAGCTGGAGAGGGACTGGGGATGGAGGGACAGGGAATGCCTTTAGAGTGGGAAAGGGGAGATTTAGATGGGTACTGGGAAGGGATTCCTGGCTGGGCTGGAATTCCCAGAGCAGCTGGGGCTGCCCCTGGAGTGTCCAGGGCCAGGCTGGAGCAGCCTGGGATGGTGGGAGCTGTCCCTGCCCCTGGGATGTGCTCTCAACTTTTGAATTCCCACTTCCCCAACGGAATTCCACGAGCTGCAGACATCTCCACACACAACAGAAACGCTTCTGATCCCTCCCTGGAATAACCAAGTAAAATAAACACACCTGAGAGTGCTTCCTGCCCCCACCCCCAAAAATAGAATAGAGGGGGGAGAGAGAGGGAGGAAAAACCCTCTCCATTACTCACCAGTGATGACAAGTAAATGAAATATCAATCATGTAAGCTGTCAACCTTTTGGGACAGCAATAACTGTTAACAAGTAGTCTGGAAAAATTGTCTGAAAATGACTTGTCCTCCACACGCCAGCACTGGAGGTTTCCATGGAAAATTAAGATGCCAGTGGCTATTTGGAACATTGTTCAGGTATTGTTTTTAATGGGAAATTTGCCACTTATTGATCCAGAGCGTGTAGCCCTTGCTTTGAGAGAGCTGCAAGCAACTTTCCAATCAGTGGCTGTCAAAAAAATTACTGCCTTTTTATACAGATACAAGACAACAGCTCCAGAGCAGCTGTCCTTAATTAACTGCACTGCCCAGCGCTGAAAAAATCCCATTTACACCCCCCAAATCAGCCTAATTCAAAGCATTTTTGCATAATCTGAGAGAATTCCAGACCTGATTTAAGCTCTTGTCAAATTCATAAAGCAAAGGACCTAAAGGGAAGGTTCAAAATTATTCAAAATATCAAAATGACCCCAAATAAACAACAAAATGACCCCAAATATCTTCCCAGTTATAGTATGTTCAAAGTCTAATCTCAGGGAATTCTTTTTTTTCTCCTTAAACTGAAAAAAATCCACTTTATTTACATTTTAGAGAACACCTGCACCACATCAGCATTCCCTGAAATCCTCTCCCAGCTGGCCAATCCTCCAAATATTTGTTGCAGGCCTCAAAATGAGTATTTCTCTTCCCCAAGATTATGAAATTAATTCATTTCCTAGGCCCAGAACATTTGTTTCCTCATAAACACATCCCAAAACGAAGCCCATAGGATGTGAGGAAGTTCAACCATCAGTGCAACACTCAAATAAAAAACTAGTTTAAAACTGAGGAGAAAAATTTTTCAGAGAAGAAGAGCTGCTGAAGCAGAAAGAAGTCATTTCCAGGCATCCCATAATTTTGCAGGGAAAGCAGAGAGTTGGGCAATCAGAACTCTAATGTACTGAAACTTTAACAGTGAGCTTGGAAGCATAGCAAAAAAATGACCTTCCCAAGGCATGATTAATCTGGAGGCTGCGCCAGGAAAATCCAAAGTTTTCCACTTTAAAGGCAAAAAATGGCTGAGATTTCCCCAGGAAAAGAGAGAACCATGAGGAATTCTGGGGGAAGGGATCTCCAGGGAGCTGCTGGACCCAAAAAGGGAGGGAAAAGGGGCTGAGAAGAGCAAAATCCCAAAAAGGCACCGGGAGCATGGGATGAGCCAGGCTGGGAATGCCCCCCTGGAGAAGGGAGGGATCCAGGGAGGAGAGCTGGGGAGGGATGGGGACAGGGGAGGGAGGGACAGCACCCAGGGAATGGCTTCAGAGTGGAAAATTTGGGTGGGATTTTGGGAAGGAATTCCCAGAGCAGCTGTGGCTGCCCCTGCATCCCCAGGATGGATCCCTGGAGCAGCCTGGGACACTGGGAGGTGTCCCTGGGGGGGATTTCAGGTTCCTCCCCAGCCAAACCAGTCTGGGATCCTCTGAATTCCCCCAAAATCACCTCTGGATGCTCCCAAACAGAGCTTGGCTCTGCCAGGTCACTTATAGGAATTTTGATCCTTCTGGCTCTGAGGGAAAATCCCCATTTTTCACCCTCTTGCTTACTCACTTCCTTTGAAAAGAGAAGTTCAAGGATATTTTTCCCCACTTTATTCAAATGATTGTGCTGCCATCAGTAACTGCACCCTTCCCCTTCTGCAGGAGATTGGTATCTGTGGGATATATTTATTTATATTTACAGGGATCCAGACAGATTTCACACACCCCTACCTACACAAAGGCACACACAGCCACATCCATCTCCCCTGGAAAAACACCAAACACATCTTTAAATCCTCTCTGAATATTGAGCCTGCAGCTACAATGAAACTCCTCTGTTAGGAGGGGTGAAGCAGTCTCCAGATGAAAGTAGATTTTGAAAAATTTTTAGAGCCCAGGGGTTCATTTTTAATGAGCCGTTACTTTAAGTACTGCATAAAAAATACAAGAAATTGATAGTCCATTTAGCCTGCACTATACCTAATGCAAAAGTCATTAAGATGCATTATTCTTAATGTTTATGATATGATCAGTAAGTGAACAAGTCTTTTTTCTTTTTTGAAGTCGAGCCTGTCCACGGATCTGGTGTGAAACCACCTCCATTCCCTGCAGAACACCAAAAACTGGGATTTAACACGGGGGCACGGCCCAGCTCAGCACTGTGGAACAAGAAAACCACCAAGAAAAAATGACAAACGTGGGGGAAATCAGGATTTGTGGCAGTGTACTCACATAGGACAGCATGGCCTTCATCTCCTCATCGCTCCTGACCGTGATCCGATCCCCATCCTCATCCTCATCTGCCAGAGGAAGGCACCAGGTGAGCAAGGAAAGGACAGGGACAATCCTGACAGGCAAGGCTTTATCTGCACTTACAGCAGCAAATAAAATGAAAAATCTAAACTAGACAGGCCAGCTGCACAAGGACTCTGAAATAATAATCGTAATTGTATACAATCTGCAAATATTCATTAACAAGAATTGTGGGTTTTGTCTAAAAAGGGGCACAAAGTGCTCAGAACTTCACTCTCAGCAGGTTTTTTTAGTGCCAGAACCTCTCCTGAAGCTGAGCACCTTCCCCAAGCTGGAATTCCCTCCCTAAAACCTTCCCCAAGCTGGAATTCCCTCCCTAAAACCTTCCCCAAGCTGGAATTCCCTCCCTAAAACCTTAAAAAAAAACCCTTTAAAGGCATCAATATCCATAACATATTTGAGCTGGCAGTTAAATGGCAGGGAATGGGCTCAGCAGCTGGAAATGACAGACTAGAGACACGCAGGGAAGGCACAGGAGCAGATGTTGGGAGGCAGAACCAAAATCAGAATTTTCCAGGAACCTCCCGCACATGGCAGCGCTCCTGTGGGCGCTGCCCTGATGGAGCATGAAGTTCAAACACAGCTAATGTGGGACCTGGGAGGGATGGCACACAAATAGTAACCAGAAGAACACAAAATCAAGTGAAAAAAGACATGAATGGCAAGGCTCTGCAGGCTCGGGGCTGCTGGTAAAAAGCAGGGCAGGAAAAACGCCGAGGTTCAGAGATAAAATTTTGTTTTGGGAGAGGAAAACACGACGTGTGAAAAGAAAGAGAGCATTAAATAGGACTTGAAGGACCATAAATCAGTATTTCCTCTGATTATCCACAGACAGAATGAGCCCCAAAGCTCTAAAAAGGGGAGAAATAAAAATAAAATTATAAAAATGAAAGGCCCCATCTCAAGTCTGCTCTGACCCCCCTCACTCAGATCTTGCCATCCCCTTCCTCCAAAGGAAAACACAGGAAAAAACATAATAAAATTATAATTTCCTTTCATCTCAAAGGAAAACAGAGGGAAAAATATAATAAAAATCAAAAGAGAGCAGCAGGAGCCTCCTCCATTTGGAAGAAAACTCCAGTTTTTCAGTATTTTATCCCCTGGGGCACTCCCTTTGCAGCTGATTGCTCTCCAGACAGGACAATCCCCCAGGAACCCCTTCAAAAATAAAAATAAACAGGGTTTAAAGAACAGATATTAGCCTAAATACTTGCTGGGAGGATTGGAGGATTACCATTTTAAGCTGAGACCCACAGGTAGTTTATACTTTTCATTTAATTTGAGCAATAAAATTGCACTGAGGAGTAAGAGCATGGTAAGGTCAGGCTGGTAATTAAAGCTACTTTGTGGAAATATTCCAGATGTGATTAAATAATAAAATATTGCCTGCTTTAGTGCCATTATTAAAGTTGCATTAATGCATAAATATTTAACCGTGACGTATAATGAATGTCACTTATTTTAAAACAATAAATATAATCAGAATATAATAAGAACGACATAAAAATGATTTCTTTATTTCAGTTACAGCCCAGCAACCTGACAAAGGGATTGGCTGACAAAAGTCACACTTACACTCAAACGCTGTGGTCGTTGCATCTGGCAAAACTTGACCAATGACATCCTGAAAATGTAAAGAAGAATTCATTAAATATCAAAAGGGAGAAGCCTGAGTGGCTTCAAATCACTTGAATCCCTCCCCACTGCCCCAAATGAGGAAGTTTTTAGGGCACAACACAAATCTTTTTCTCCTCCCCTCCAAGGAAACGCTTTTCCTCCCAAATAATTCCCTCCTAATTGCAAACAGCTCCGTGCTCTCTGCTCCTGCAGGTGAAAAAAAATCCATTTTTAACTTGGGTTATAAAAAAATGGGCACCTAACTGATCAAAACCAGCCATAAAAAGAGCTTTATGAATTTTTCTTTGCTTTAAAAAAACCCATTTTCTCCTGTTTGGAGGGTTCTGTCTGCCTCACCTGGGATTTGAGCTGCTCCAAAACTCAGGAGATGCATTCAAATCCCAGGGGAAATTCACTGGAAACCCCCAAAGAGGCAGAGACAGAACCTGAGGCAGCCCCACAACACCAAACCCAAAAACACCTCCAGTCCCACACCCCTGCTCCAGCCCAGATGGTTTTTACAGGTACCAACGAAGAACTTTTATCATTTTTTAGCCAAATCACACCAACACTTCCAGCTCCACATCCCTGCTCCAGCCCAGATTTTTCTGCTGACACCAGAGAAGAGCTTTGACCATTTTTCACCCAACATTTCCAATCCCTGCTCCAACCCAACGTTTTGTTTTTGCTGGTACCAGAGAAGAACTTTCATTATTTTTTCAGTTTTCACCATTTTTTCCAGCCAAACCACACCAACACCTCCAGCTCTGCATCCTTCCTCCAACCCAGATTTTTTTTGCTGATACCAGAGCAGCTCCTTTATCATTTTTCCAGCTTTTATCATTTTTTTCCAGCCAAACCACACCAACATTTCCATTTCCAATCCAACCTCCAACCCAGCCATTTTTGCTGATACCAGAGAAGAGCTTTGATCATTTTCCCAGCTTTCACCATTTTTCCAGCTAAAACACCCCAACATTTCCAGCTCCACACCCCTGCTCCAACCCAGATTTTTTTCCACTGGTACCAGAGCAGCTCCTTTGTCATTTTTCCAGCTTTTATCATTTTTCCAGCCAAACCACACCAACATTTCCATTTCCAATCCATCCTCCAACCCAGCCTTTCTTGCTGGTACCAAAGAAGAGCTTTTACCATTTTTCAGCCAAATTTTCCAATCCCTGCTCCAACCCAACTTTTTTTTTTTTTTTTTTTTAATTGGTACCAGAGAAGAGCTTTGATCATTTTCCCAGCTTTCACCATTTTTCCAGCCAAAACACCCCAACATTTCCAGCTCCAACCCAGATTTTTTCCACCGGTACCAGAGAAGCTCCTTTATCATCTTCCCAGTTTTTACCATTTTCCCAGCCTTTATCATTTTCCCAGTTTTTACCATTTTCCCAGCTTTTATAATTTTCCCAGCCTTTATCACTTTCCCAGTTCTTATCATTTCCCAGCCTTTATAATTTTCCCAGTTTTTATAATTTTCCCAGCCTCTATAATTTCCCAGTTTTTATCATTTTCCCAGCCTCTATCATTTTCCCAGCCTCTATCATTTTCCCAGCCTCTATCATTTTCCCAGCCTCTATCACTTTCCCAGTTTTTCTAATTTTCCCAGCTTGTATCATTCTCCCAGTTTTTATAATTTTCCCAGTTTTTATCACTTCCCAGCCTCCCCTTTGCTGCCAACCCACGAGGAGCCACATCAGGGCACGGCACCGATGCCCAGCGTGGCTCTGCCCCTCCCTGGTGCCTCCTGCCACCCCCAGGAAAAATGAACTTCTAGAAATTAATGAACGCCAGGATTTATCGCAGCGCATCCACCGGAGCCTCTCCGGGCGCTCCACACCCCCTGCCAAAGCTCCACTGATGTCCTGCCACTTCTGCTCTCTCCATTTTTCTCTTCCATCTGAAGGGATGAAATTAAAGATTCCGTGTCACGGAGGAACAATTAATAACATGTGAGAGCAGCACAGGATTTCCACAGAGCCAGCTGAAGCAAATAATAAATATAAAACTTTCTCGTGGTGTCTTAGATGTGAAAATAAATCAAGAAACGTGGCTCAAACTATTAATTGCACACCAGAAATGTGCAGTGTGGCTTAATTGTGGAACTGTAAATTTGGAGAGGCAAAAATAAGAAAACAAAAAGCCCTCAAAATATTTCCATGTTGATAAAAATTCTTCCATTCTCCAGGGTTTACCAGCCTCTGTCAAAAGCCACTATTTCTAGTAAGAAATCAGTCTTGCCTGCACAGAAGACTGTACTAATTATTTCTAAATCCATTCATTTAAACACTGGAAATTCCTCAGCAAACACACTTTAATTCTGTTAGATTTAAGCCCCTTGTCAGTGTTCATCTATGGGCACACAGATGCTTCTAAGAAATGGATTTTAAAACTGTTTAAAAACTGGATTTAAGGGGTGTGGAAGCTTCAGAGGCAGCTCTGACACCCCAAAATTCTGAAAACTCCAAACATCCCAAAGCTCTAAAAGAGTCATTAAAATAAAAAATCTTATTTTTACCTTATTTTTATCCTATCTGCACCCCTCCAGAATAACTTTTTCCATGTATTGAGACTTCTTTAATACTAAGTAATAACTGAAAAGCAATTAATAACTAAGTAATAATCAATAAGTGAATTACACACCCCAACTCTTGCACTAAATAAACACCAACAGCTTTGCCCAGCTGACAATAATTCCATTAAATGAGTGTACCTGAGAGGAGCCAGGCTGGCAGGGGTGGAGGCAGGGAAATCCCATCACTGCGAAATTCCCCAAGTGTCTGCAGCAGCTCCACCCCATTCCCAACCCCCAGACCCCGGGCTGACCCAGGATTAAAGGATTATTCCAAATTTCAAAGGATTTCAGGTGCACAGGGGATTTTCTGCTATCACAACAGAGATCAGGAGCAATAAAATACTCCCACTTGGAGGCAGAACAAAATAAATAATTATATCTTTTGTATTATAAAATTATATATTCTATCTATGAAATCTATATTATATATAGATATGTATATATTGTATATAATATATATTAAATATATTAATTATAATAAAATACATATAATTAAAATATATTTATTTGATAATAAATAAACAATATATTTATTTTATTATGAATATAGTATAACATTTATTTTATAATAAATATAATATCATATTTATTTTATAATAAAATACTTCCCACTTGCTGAAGTGGGTTTATCTAAGGGATACAGAACTGAAAAGCCCCTAAAAATGAGGAGAAAATTCAGGGAACAGCAGGTGCCAGAGGAACTCCAGAATCAGATCTGTTCTCTGGAGGAGCAGGGGTGAGAAAGCAGAAAATGTGAAAGCTCTGCTCAGATGCCAGGGTAAATATTGAACCCACAGCTCTCACATTCCAATTAAATTTGTTTTATCTCACCATGACAATGTGGAGTTGCCCAGAATTAACACCAAGTGCTTAAATACCAGTGACAGGAGGAATGCAGACAGATTGGGAGGGAAAAATAAGCTTATTGTAATTCATTTAGAGGGGCCTTAAAAATGAAGCTATTTACTGGTAACTCACAGGCCTGCAAAGCTGACGCACAGAGAACTTATTTCCAGTGACACCAGGAAGAGCAGCCCTGGAAATGAGGATGGAAATAAACCTGCACACCAGCTTGAAATGCTGCACTCACTGAGGGGCAAAATTAACAAAAATCAGCTCAAAAATCACCTGAAAATATAAAATAATAATTTCACCAGCCTGAAATGCTGCAAGGCTACACTCACAGGGAGGCAAAATGAACAAAAACCAGCTTAAAAATCACCTAAATATCTAAAATAAAACCTCAAAGAGAATTTTATGGGATTTTCTCAACGCAGAGCAGCCCACGGGACCCACCTTGGGGGAAGAAGAGCCTAATCCAGCTCTCATGGGTGCAGCTTTTGGGACGTGTCCCTGGCGTGGGGCTGGCCCCAAATGTGGTTGTGCAGCTCCAGCAGGACAGAAAGTCCCAAACCCCCCTGGGGACAGGGGCACAGGGGTGGGATGGAGCCTGGAGAGCTCAGCCAGCCCCAAAGGGGTTGTTCAGAGCCTGAGGAAAGCCCTGGGCATCCTGGGGAGGCATCCTTGGGCTGCTGCTCCCCAGGGATTGACCTCAGCAGGGAACACCTGAATTCTCCCCAGGCTCGTTAATTGTTCCTGCAGCAATTAAATTCCTGAAACCCTCTGGAAGTGCTCCAGGTGGGAGTAACCACCCCGAGGGCAGAGAGGAGGGGCAGCCCCACTGCTGCCCTGCCAGCCCCAGGTGGGGACACACCCGGCACTCCTGAGTGGATTTATGTTATTTTAATCTAATTTATTTATGTTATTTTAATCTCATTTATTTCATTTAATTCCTGTGTTTATCTGACCCACCACTCCTGAGTGGATTGGAGCCTTACTTAATTCATTTTAATTTATTTAATTCCTGTATTTATCTGACCAATCAAGCCCAGGTGAATCTGGGATGGCACCTCCTGAAACACAACCACCAACACCACACTGCAACAGCCTGACAGATGAAATTCTCATCACCTCCACAGGTGGGACAGGACAGGAACAGCAGCACAGGGTGCCCAGAGCTGCCCCAGATCCCTGGAATGCCCCAGGCCAGCCTGGAGCAGCCTGGGACAGTGGAAGGTGTCCCTGATGGCAGGGGTTGGAATGGGGTGGGATTTAAGGTCCCTTCTAACCCAAATTATGCTCCAATTCCATCATGAGCATGACAAAAACTCTGATTTTTAACTAATCCAGCAAGGCATCATCCTGGCATGGTCACTGCTTATTCTCCACTAGATCCCTGCTTAAAACCACCTGAGCAGTGAAAACCCTGGAGCTCTGAGATGTGCCAAGCTCCAGGCTGGCCTGACTGCCTCCTTTCTCACCTCCTCCCCACTCAGGAGCTCTCAGGGAGCTCTGCTGCCACTCCAGGTCCTCTGTCACCCACTGGCCACGACGGATCTACTAACTTTTAAATAACCAACCTGAATTTGCAATAATTCCAGGATGGCAAAGGAGAGTCCAAGAATCAGGGGTAATTTCACTTTATTTTGGGGAAGAGAAAAAAAAGGAGAACATGAAGCAAGAGTTGGAGAAAACCAGGCCCATTTGCTCCACTTTTGTTTAAGGGCACAGGCTCTGCTCCCACTCCTCCATCTACAGAAAGTCATGGAAAATGCTGAATGTTGGGAAAAGGACAGCTGGGATTTCTGTCAGCCCTTCCAGTTACCCTCCAGGCCCAACAGTGAGCATCCCAACCCAACCCCTCCCTCCCCACTTGTCCTTTCCACAGGACCAACATCTGGAAAGACACCTGCAAAATCTCTCCCCAATGTTAATAACAGCAGGAAAAACTGAAGGTGCACCTGAGGTGTGGTGTGGGAAGGTTTTCTTTAGAGAAACGAGGGCACACAGAGTCCTGGGATGTGCTGGGGAGGAGAGGTGAGGGCAGGGGCAGAAAGCATCACCTGCACCCTGAGCTGCTCTCTGGGCTAAGGACACAGCTGGGAACAAGTGGGGTAAAAACCCACTGCCATTTCTGAGTGGGGTAAACAATAAACACCCACTCCCATTCCTGAATAGGATAAACATCCACTCCCATTTCTGAGTGGGATACACAAACATCCATTCCCATTTCTGAGTGGGATACACAATAAACACCCCCATTTCTGAGTGGGACAAACATCCCTTCCCATTTCTGAGTGGGATAAACATCCATTCCCATTTCTGAGTGGGATACACAATAAACACCCCCATTTCTGAGTGGGATAAACATCCACTCCCATTTCTGAGTGGGATACACCACACTCACTCCCATTTCTGAGTGGGACACACAAACACCCACTCCCATTTCCGAGTAAACAGCATCCTTGTGTGCAGACGAACGAAACACCCCAGCAGGGAAGGGGCTGAGGGTCAGGAGGCACAGCAGAGCCCCAGCCCGGGAGGGGACATGCCACCACGAGCAGCTGCGACCCCAGCCCAGGGCAGAGCCTTCTCCCGAGCAGGGAATTCCTTCCCAAAGCACAGCTTTTCCTCGGCCATCCCAAGGCACAGAGGAGGGCATGCCCTGACCCGGAGATGTCCCTGCCCACGGCAGGGGGGCGGATTTGGGGACTCCAGAGGTTCCTGCCAGCCCAAACCTGGGCACGATGGCCCTGCCCGGCACCTGCAGCATCCTCCCGAAACCTCGCAATGCCAGGACGGGCGTTTGTGTCAAGCCCGACAAAAACCACCCTCCCATTGAACATTCCGCCGAAACACACACCAAAAACACGTCCCGCCATCCCGGGAGGGGTTCGGACACGCTGCGCGCACAGAGCGGGGAGGGTGGCATCGCCTGATGGCCGGAACGGGGGTCACGGTGACATCCCCCGGGCTGGGAGGGGGGTCCCGGTGACATCCCCCGGGCTGGGAGGGGGGTCCCGGTGACATCCCCCGGGCTGGGAGGGGGGTCCCGGTGACATCCCCCGGGCTGGGAGGGGGCTCACGGTGACATCCCCCAGGCTGGGAGGGGGGTCACGGTGACATCCCCCGGGCCGGCTCGGGGGTCCCGGTCCCGGCCGGACTCACTCACCAGCACATCCCTGAAGAGCAGCTGCGGCGCGGAGTGCACGGTCCAGTCCACGGCGGCTCCGTCGGGGATCTTGATGCGGATGACGAGCGCCTGGCTGTCCATGGCGCCGCAGGGGCCGCAGAGCAGCCAGAGCATCCCCGCCCCGCGGGCTCACATGCTGCGGCCGCCGCGCCGGGCCGAGCCGGGCCGGGCCGGGCCGGGCACAGCCTGCACCGCCCTCCCGCAGGAAGGAGCCGCTGCCCCGGAACCAAAACGGAGCCCCGGGAGGAGGGGATGTGCGGCGGCGACGGGAGGAGGAGGAGGACGAGGAGGAGGAAGGGGAAGGGGAGGCGGCGCCGTGGGCGGGAGGAGGCGGGCCCGGCCCCGCGGTTAATTGCTTTCCTCTTTCTGTGCCTTGTGTTTTGACGGGAAAAGCGCAGCTAAAGGCGAATCCAGCCGGGCCGGGATTCCCGCTGGAAGCGGGGCAGAGTCCCCGGTGCTGCCGGGGGTTCGGAGGGACGGGCTGGGGATGCTCCGGCCGGGCTGTCCCACCACAACACGAACACAAATACAAACACAAATACAAACACAAACAGAGCGCTGCCATAACCTGCCCGGGGAGCTGGGGCAGTCACTGCCCCTGGAAGTGCCCAGGGATTTCCGAATGTGGCACTGGGGGACACGGGCAGGGAATTGCGGTGCTGGCTGGGGCTGGGGCTCGGGGGTGCCCGGCTCTGCCCATCCCTTCTCGGTGTCCCTGCGGAACAAACTGGGAATGGGCACTGGGAATGGGCACTGAGAACGGGCACTGGGAATGGGCACTAGGCATGGGTAGGGGAATGGGTGCTGGGAATGGGCACTGGGATGGATACTGGGAACGGGCACTGAGAATGGGCACTGGGGATGGGTAGGGGAATGGGTACGGAAATGAGTGCTGGGAGCACTGGGAACTGGGAATGGGCACTGGGAACGGGAACTGAGAACAGGTTCTGGGATGGGCACTGGGAAAGGGCACTGGATGGGCACTGGGAATGGGCACTGGATGGGCTCTGGGACAGCCCAACAGCTGCAGGAGCAGGTGAGGGAAGGGCTCGGGGCCGTTGCCAGCACTGTCGCACACCTCGCGGATCCTCCACGTCCCAGCTCTCCGGAGTTGATGTCCAGGTACAATTCTGCCATCTCTGAGTTCCCTCCGTGGCAGGGATGCAGCTGAAATCAGCCCAGTCCAAACCACGATCCATTTTCCTGATGAGAGAAAATCCCTGTCCACCTCAGCAACAAAGACAGTGTTTTGACAGCTCTGCCATCACAAAACGCCAAATTCAGCTTTTAAAACAAGCCTTTCACTGCCACAAGTCACAGGGAGAGCTCTCTGCTCCGCACAGCTCTGCAGCATAAAACAATCCACTTTTTTTTTTTTTTTTTTTTTTTAAGAGAACAGCATTAATCTCAATTGTGGGCTATTGATCCATGCATTTTATCACACTCTCTCACATTATCATCTCTGACAAACTGGACTATTTGAGTTATTTTATCAATTTAGAGGGGGGGAATGGGAGGTATATTTAATTCCTGAAACGTCTTCAAGCTTCTTCATATTTGGATTCTACTTTGTTTGAGCTTTAGGAAGAAAAAAAAAAAATTCAATGGCCATTAACAGAGATAAATTCTCTCTCTGTTCAATAACTTTATAATTTAGTTCCTATACTAAAAATTAATGGAGCCCCAGCTCCTAAGGATCTAAGGGACTGGTGGTGCCCACACAGACATCTTTCTGCTCAAATGAACCTTTTACCTGCAGTCCCTGTGTACCTCTCACTCAGCTCCATTTCAATCAGAGTCATTTTCTATTAAATTTTAAAGAATAGGAAGCAAAATGATGGAATTTCTATAGACCTGCAGTTTTTCTAAAATGTCTTCTTCATTTATGAGACTATGGGGAAAACCAACTCAATTTGCCAAATTTGCATAAATATTACGTCGATTTTCCAGGGCTAATCACAACCTTAATCCCCCATTCTGGTTTGTGTAATCAAACTTGAAGGGTTTTTATATCTTAAGAAGTACAGCATATTGAGCACATATTTATTGATACAGGTTTCATTTTGCCACAGACTTCTTCTTTAAAACCCAAGTTTAATCAGAAATTTTCCTTTGAAATACGCCATTTGAAACAAATCATTGATGTTTATTTTATCATCCTGCAGAAGTTTTGCTATGAGATGTCACCAATATTTATTTTTATATTTTTCCTTAATGTTGGGGGAAAATTGGTGTTGCGAGAACACAATCCATGATTTTTTAATACAAAATATTCTTGAAGTTCTGCATTTGAGTAGCCCAAGGATCTCCAAGCTCAAGTTCCCAGTACAAGGATTCCAGAATCCCCGTTAAAAATCATTTAAATAATTAAAAGCCTGATTTTCCCCACTAAATGCAGACAACACAACATTTATAACAACATCTCCAAAATCATCGTTCGCCCGCAAGTGAACGCCACCCAAAATCCGCAAAGGAATGAGTGTCACCGCTTTAATTGCAGGATGGTGAAGCCCACAACTCCTGTAAATTGAGGATTTTGTTGGTGAGGGGGGAACAGGCTCCCTTGGTGGCTGCCAGCAGCTGCCACTTGCAGTGTGCTGCTGCTCTCTGCTGCTTTGCAGCGCCGCTGGAGAGCACCGGGAGCATCCCGAGCCGGCCACGGCAAGAAATAAATATTTATTTCCAGGATGCTGACACAGGAGGGGAGGAAAATCATTAGAATCTCGCAGGAGTCTCCGTGAGGATGGAAAAATGCTGTTTCCCAGGGGTTTGCTTAGCAGGATAATTTGGTCCAAAAGTAAGGAAAGAAGTTATCACTTGGTTAATTCCCACTGCGAAGGAAGTTGCCCGGCAAAAGAAATTTTCTATTTTTGCTCTGTCACAAATACCCTGTAATGGAGTTTTGGGTCCCTCCAGCAGAACTGTGTAAAAAGAACAGGGAGGAAAGCAAGAGCTGCTTCCCCTGGCGCTGCTCTTGAATATTGCTGTGGCAGGACGTGGGTTCAGCTTTTCCTGGCCTGAGGAGGGAGGTGGGAGCTCGTTCTCAGGAGTGGGATGGGTGAAAATGCCCAGCAGTGAACTAAACCCGAGATTAGGATTCCCAATTCCTCCAGTCCTGCACTCATCGCCTTGGATAAAAGGAGGCACAGAAGGATAGAGACAGAAAATGCTGATTTCATTCTGGATCCTACTCAGCATCTCCAATAATCTCATTATTACTAGAATTTTTCCAGCTATGTCTTAGGAATAATGTAATTTTATATATATATATATATATATATATATATATATATAAAATATACATATATAAAATATTATATAATATATAATATATAATATTGTAATAAAATATATGCTCTAATTAAAATAATATAATATATATAAATAATAGTGTAATATTAGAATGATTTAATAAAATATATACTATTATAATAAAATAATATATAATAGAAATAATATGTAAATAATGTATGACCTAGGAATAATGTGTATTTATTAAGTAACAGGCTAAATAATTCCCATTTAACTATGAAGATATTTTGGAAATCTGCTGTTAGCAGTGCTGTGCCACCTTACCTGTAATTCAGACATTGAGTATAAAACACACCTGGAGCAGTCAGGATCTCTGTGCCAGCCCTTGGTTCACCAAAGTCAATTTATCATCCCTGCTTCCTCCCTGCACCAGTTTCTAGGCTGCAATTATAAATAAAGGACAAATTCTCAGTTTCCTAGAGAAAATGGCACCTGATGGTTGTTTCAGGAGCACACATTTTCCTGTCTTTTTGGAAAGATATTCATATCTGACTTTCTGTGTTGATAAATAACACACCATGGTGAAATTCACTTTTCTTTCCCCTTTCAATTGCCTGTGAGTGCAGCAAACTGAATTCCCTCAGGCTGGTGAAAAATAGGTCAGCAGTGTCCAGGCTTTCTAAAGATATTCTTCCCTGAAAGGCATCTCCTGGAAAGACTCACCAAGTGCACCAGGGATAAATTCAGATTCCTTAAAAATGGCATTAAAACTTCCACCCGAGTCCCACTGCCCCTCCCAGGCACTCTGCATTTCTCTGGAGTAAGAAAGGACTCTTTGGGACCCAAATATCAGGAAATAAATTCACCTTATTTGCAGTTCACAGGGAAACTCACTGGCCTCAAGCAGATCTTTTAAAGCTCTTTTTTCACAGTAAACCCAACTCAGACTGAAACGTAACAGCAGTGAACTTGATTTAGGTTAAATTAGCAAATATTTCGTTTTTGCTTTAAATGGTTAATAACTTTTGAAAGCAAGCAGATTCTGTGATGCACAGTGAGAAGGTAACTCCAGCAGTTGGGCTGTGTGTGGTTAATGATGCTCCTGTACCCCTTCAGACCAGCTCCAGGGGCTGCATAATTGTTTTTCTGTCAACCTATAAATTCTTGAGTAACAACAAAATTATTGTGATTTTTCTTCCTAAATAATTCATATCTCACAAAGTATGTAAGCAGGCCCATGAATCACTGAGCATGTAACAATCATATCTAATGGCATTTCTTCTTTTAAGGGAAAAAAATAGGTTTGACTTTGTAATCTTGTTCAAAAATCAGTGTTCTAATCTGAGATTTACATTTTAAACTTGAAAGTTGCCTTGATCAGAGTTTTTGTCTGAAGGATTGCTTTTAATCATGTTTTCCACTTTTAATTCTATTAGGATTATTAATATCACTGCAAGAAATAAATTGGTTTTATAATGAACTACAACAGGGCTCATAAACTGTGTTTAAAGTGATGCAATTACTTTCAAAATCACTTTAAATTGTTTGTATTCGACTTTTTAGGACTTAAATGCAAAAGCAACATCTTACTCTTTTCTAGAAATAAATCTTTCAAGCAAACTTCAATATATTAGTGACAATTTTTACTCTATATTCCCTGGCTGCAGTGCTGAAGTTGCCACTTGTTCTTAGGTGTATTTAAACTGAAAAATACAGCCCAAAATTTATATCATGGCTTCTATTTCCAGAAATAGGGAAAGGAATCAAGACAACTCTCAGAATTATCAACTCACTTTTCTGTAGTGAACATGATTAAGGGGTTACAGCAAAAGCCAATATAAATTAAATGGCCACAGTAAATAATACATGAAGCAAAATCCCCTTTGTTTCAGGAAAAGTTGCTCTAAACCAGAGGCCTAAGGGCATTCAACTATTAAAAAATACCTAAATTTCATTCAATAATAATAACATACATCAGGGAGATCTATAATTATGGTTTGTGAGGA